AAAAAAAAAAAAAAAAAAAAAGTCGCGTTACAGCCATTTTCGATGGGATCTTGTACTTACAGAGCTCGTCTCACAATATTGCGCGTCTCTGATTCGTCAGTCTTCTATTACTGATATTTTCGAAGTTTTACGTGATTATTTGACGAATGATAGAAGAACTTGTTGTTCAGTTTGACCTAATCTACCTGCACGCGTGCTAGTGCGACCACCTCATGTCAGACATCCCTGTACACACACGCGAAACAACAAAATTACTACAATCCGTCTACGTCTTTGACAAATTTGTGCTTCTCAAATGAAGACGAAGACTTTGGATCAATGAATTCTAAGTCTTCTTTTTTAATTTAGACTAGGGTGGGGAAGGGGATGTAAAAAGGCGTTTACTCTTACCCGGTCGAAGATAGGAAGTACTCCTTGTTCACGCAGTTCCGCAGACAATCGGGAATGCGACCGACTATGGCTCGTCGGATCTCACTGGCCGCCATTTCACGTAATTCAGTGCAGCTAGCATCGCTGTAGAATGCGGCGTGTGGTGTGCAAAGAAGATTGGGTGCATCTTTCAATGGACCTGCATTTTACATGTACGAGATCATAAGGATCGCATAATCAATCAAGTGTTGCGTTAATAACGGATGAGAACGTAGCAACGACCTCGAACGTGAATTGTCTCGAGCATGATTACAAGCTCACTATTTAATGATCATTAAGAGAAATATTGAGAAACATTTACATGGAAATTGTTATATCTATAATATAATTCTTATAATATAGTACAATTCTTATATCTATGAATATTATATTAATACATAAGTATTAAAATTTTATATAAAAATACAAATTTTTGTGTATATAATTCTGTTTTAAATAATATATATATCAATTAAAAAATATATATTTGTTATATATCAAATACAATTTAAACAATATATTTGTAATATTATTTTCTTTTTTCTCTTATTTCAAATGGTCTTATCAATTGCCGTGTTTATAAATAAATTTCATATTTGCTTGTACATTTTACACGAAACAATGCACGTGTTTTTGGTATTCTTTTCTTATGATCTTTTGGAAGCTACACTAAGGAAAGCATTTTGGGTAACGCGTCTACCTACCTACACCACGGGTCGAGGACAGGATGAGGGTTTAGGAAAGGTAAAGGGAGATATTAGTTGGACGAGAGACGAGGGAGTTAGGCATGGACAGATAAGACTCACATTGCGCGGACTGACCCTGAAAGACGTTGTACGGCTCGTTTTCGTGGACATCTAATGCCGCCGCACGGATTCTACCCTGTTTGAGCGCCCCGGCTAGCGCGTCATCATCCACTAGACCACCTCGCGCTGTATTGACTAAAAATGCTCCTGGTCTCATCTACAACACGTAGCGAAATACACGTTGATTTTGATCCTCGTCGAATCATTCAATTGCCTTATATCGATAACGAACGAGGTTTCTATAATTCATTTCTTTAATACTGTTTTTAACATACCTGTTTGATAGTGAATTCGTTTATTAGATGATGATTGTGTTCATTCAAGGTACAGTGTAGAGATACACAGTCTGATTGGAATAGCAAATCCTGAAACACAGCAGAAAAATCTCCAGTTAATGAACAAGTCAATCGAACAGCATTTCATAATGTTTAATGATTATACTTATGTTGAAAGCATATATATACATATATTTTATATTAAAAATTTAAATATTCGTATTTAAAAAAAAGACTAAAGCAATCGGAATGTCTAGAATTTAGGTACGTGTCCGGGAATTTTTTACCTTACTATACAATCCTCGTTTACTTTCAAGATTTTAGATAAAATCAGATCACACAAAGAATTCACAAAAAATACAAACCTGTAGTGTGTAAACCCTGGTGAGACCTAACGACTTCTCGATTCCGTCCGGCAGGTAGGGATCATAAAAAATGACGGTGAAGCCAAAAGCTTTGGCACGCAACGCTACCGCTGATCCAATCCTGCCTAGCCCGACTATACCCAGAGTGTCGCCCCGTATCCTTGCACATCCGGTGGCTGCTTCTCTTACCTGAAAAGCATGAAAAGATTAATATTAATATAGTCTTGAAAGTTTTAACTTTGCTTCACCAGAGAAATGTAATAAATGAATTTAACCAGTAGATTACACATAACTGTTATAAATTTCACGCAACTTTAATAGTATTAAATTTAGCTTCAGTAAAATGTAATCTCTATTAGTTAAAACATTAGAAGTTGCTAATTTAATAAACATTTTTTCCGGTTTTAAAACAAGTTTCTGGAAGAATGTACAATTTAAGGCATGCAGTGGATGGCACATAAAAAAGCAGTACACACAAAAATACTGTTGTATTAATAGAATTGGTCAACAATATCATAATTGGAGTAAATATGATAACAATATCGTTGAAACTGATATTCGAACAATTAAAACAATATATGTATTATCAATAAATTAGTTTCAATATTATTGCTATTAAGATCTACTCCGATTATGGCGCTGTCAACTAATTTTCTTAATACAACAGCATGTTTTTACCATATAAAACTAAACAGTAAGTGACTTGGTAGATTATATTCGGAAATTATCGAGAACGTAAGACTGCAATGTTGAAATTCTTGACTGTGATTGATAGATTTGCTTATTGCTCAAGTCTTACTGATTACTGTGCATTAGATAGCTCCTCAAGTAAGATTGAATATACCTTGTATATGAAGATTACACAATCTTACAAGTGCAGAATTTAACATTCATACCTGTTCTGGTCCTGTGAATTTCTTGCCCTCGCGTACCATGTTTGCCAACCAGTACGTGCGCCGATAGAGATTTAGAATGAGGCAGAGAGTAGTGTCAGCTACCTCTTCGACACCATAGCCAGGCACATTGCACACAGCGATGCCAAGCTCGCCCGCCGCTTTGACATCGATATTATCGACTCCTGAGCCGATTCTTACGATGATCCGTAACGTCTTGAACTTCTCCAGGTCCTCCTTTGTCAAAATGATGGTGTGCCACATTAATGCACCTACTGCCTCATTTAGAACCTGTGAGAAAACCAAACCATATCAGTATTTCAACTTATTACTCATTATATTCGTGTGAAAAGAAAATATCGCAATAGAAATAGATTATCTCGACAGTTGTATGAATTGAATGTATGAAAAAGAACATTTGATATATATAAAACACATAAACATATAAAATAAAAATTTAATAGTAAAATATAAGGTAAAAAATCTAATATAAAGTTATATTATAAATTTGAATATATAAATTCAGATATTGACTTCACACAACTTCTAAGAATATGAGAAAGAGAGAGAGAGAGCGAAATGAACATACAACAAAATTCATGATATTTCCCTGACAAATACACACACTTAGAAGTATATATCTCAAGATATGTATGAGAAATGCTTCAAGATATCATATCAAAAATATAGAGTTATGTATTAAATTTAAATATAACTTCACAGATATAATTTCACGCGCGTATAACTTCTAAGAGAGTAAGAGTGACATAATGTATACAGCAAAATTCATAAATTTCTCTTACAAATCACGTTTAAAAGTATAAATCCCAAGCTGAGTATGAGAAAAGCTTCGAAAAGAGAACTTGGTCTCCCCAAGTCCAGCTTGAAAACTTTCACTATCCTCTAGGCATTCTTCATGCTATAATATAGGATGCATATTCCTGAGTAAACAAGTACCTGAGGAAACTATATTGTAAGCTTTTAGAACAGTATTTAGAATTCAGATCTTATACTTAAGATTATATTAAGTTAATCTTCAGATGCAATGCAAATTATTTCACTGGTTGTGAAGCATCTCAAGATGAGCTTAAGAGATCTTAAATATGAGATCCAGCAATGAATACCACACTGTTAGGAATCTATTCTGTAACTTTTAACACCAGTGTCGTTGTTGTTACGTTGTCGTTGTGTGGATATACGACAGAAAATCTGTGCAACAACATAACAATAACAATGTTGTTGTTAGAAGTTAGAAAATAAACCCCTTAGCATTATAGTTTCTGGTACAGCGAAGAAACATGAAGGAACAAGAATGATACCTTTTCGTGGATTTCTGAGGTCGATTGAGCGTCGCAGAAAGCCACCGTTGCAACATCCTTTAGAATGGGCATCTCAATCGAACAGTCCCGTCCATCGAGCAACGCCACTAACGGTCGCGTCTGAATCGGTCCGTTCTGGATCGGACCCCTCAGGTTCTCCATACGAGGGCGTTTGGACATCATCTTCCGTTTGTCCATCGGTCAGACAGCCCCCCCTATTTTTATAGTTTTCACTTGCGCTCTCAGTGTCACTAACCAACCCCAGTGTCACTCCTTCTTCGGCACGTTGCTGTTGCTGCTCTTCCTTCACCACTTCGTCCTCGCGTCCCGCGGCAAGGGTGGCAAACGACACGAGTCTCGGGACGAGTATGACGGCACTCGTAGGCGACACGCGTGTTATAACAGTCCAAGTACAATAACAACGACAACGGTTCCGCACTCGCTCTTTTATGCTTTGTCACACAAACTGCTTCTGTAACACTGGCTGCTGATCGGTTTTCGGGCAGGGACCGCCGAATCTCCAACGCATCACGGCTCAGTGGACACCGTCTCCTGGAAAACGAAGGTCAACGTTAATTCAACCATTGCAACGTTGCATAAATCCATACATGCACAACACACACGTGTGTGTATACATATATACATTACTATATATACACACACGTGTATCTTGTAGCTGTGTATGCATATATATATACGTTATACATGTGTGTGTATATATATCAAACGAGATATAAAGTGATATCACGCGCGACCACGCAAAAATTTCAAACGCATCACACACAGTCGCACGCGTGCCCCTCTCCCACACACATATAGACACACACATGCGCGCGCACGCATACAACGCAAGTTCTATCACGCGGCGACGCACCTGGTAACTCTCATTTACACAAAGGCAGCGCAAACGAGCGGGAGTGCAACGGCGGCACGGTGAGTAAACCATCGTCGCCGCCGTTTGCACGGCTCGCTCGCATATTTTTTCACACGCAGCCGAGAGAGATAAAAGCGCGAAGAGAACGAAATGCTCTCCCCTAGCGTCTTCGAGAAAAATACACATCGCGTCGCGGTGCCATCGACGACACGACGGCACCGTCCAAAGTCTGTTCCTGTCGTATCTGCACTGTTCGCGCACCTTCTGCACCCGAAATCAAACCAAACTATACAACACTCTGATAGACAATCGGGCGAGGAGGGAATGAGTAGGATCCGTGGGAGAGGACGCGTTTTTCAAGTGAAGACAGACCTGTCGTGGCTCGTCATGGATGCTGTTCGTTTTTTATCCAAACCTTGCGGTTCTTTCTTTCTCACACGTCGGCGTCGTGTACGTCGAGACGACGCTCTTCGCCTTAACCTATATCCGCGCACGAGTGAGAGTCTGGTCGTCACAAAACGCTCTATCTGTCTCTCTTTCTCTGTCTATCTCTTTTAGTATCCGGATACACGGGTACACGTATCTGCCGACAAGAAGAAGCGACGCGAAGAAAGGAAGCGATACACTACGGCGGAACGCTACTCCGCTGCGCTCTCTCTGTCGGACCGCGCTTCTTTTTGGAGGTTACCTTGAAACGCGCCGGCTTAACCTGCGCAGTGCACGCGTCCGCCACGGACGCGGAATCCGGCCGCGCTCTCTCGCACGGTGCGTTGGCCGCCTTAGTCGCGGCTACAGGGAAACCGAGAAACACGATGATGACGACGATAACGACGACGACGACGCTGCGACGACGCGCGGAAGACTCGCGGCGCGGGGGAGGGGGCGGACGCGACGAGAGCGCGAAAAACGCCGGGAAGTGCTGAGAGGAGCTGTAACACGCACGCACGCACGTACACGCACGCACATACGCACGCGACGCGGAGAGAAGAGGAGGCGCTCACGTAGTTTCTAGATATATATGCGGCGGCGGCGGCGATCGCTGCGCCGAGAGACGAGCTCGTGCGCTCTCCTTCTCTCTTGCGTTCTTACACGTTCGCTGTCCCGTTCACTCTTGTACTCTTTCGCTGTCTCGCTCGCTCGCTCGCCTTACTGCGCTGGGGCGAACGTTTTCGGCAGCGTTAATAGCGAGCGTCATTCTCTCTTTCTCCCTCGCTCGCTTCACTCGTGGACATCGCTCCCTCCTCCTCCTATTTCTCTCTCTCTCTCTCATACACACTCACTGGTTCGCTCACTCGCGGGAACGCGCGCGCCGACACGACGTTTCCGACCCGTTTTCGGCGGCGATTGGAAACCGATCACTCCGTCGCTCGCGCGCCCGGCCCTTCGGTCATTCTCATCGTTCCCTTCGTGTACCCCGCGCTGCACTTTCTCGCCTCTCCTTCCTCGCCGCTGAAGGCGCAGAGTGTAGCTCATGCGAGCCACGCATGAGTCACGTTCCATCGGGACGCGATGGACACAGTCCGGCCGATGGATTATCGTCGACGATCACTCAACACATTGCGTATTTATTCGTATAATCCGAATATCGTTGGCGAGTTATACTTCGCACGCGAGTTTCGCGGAGAAAAATCTGCGAATGTTTTCACTCGGATGAATATCAAAATTCATTTGATAAAAATGTATGTATCTTTTTAGCCTAATTTATGTGCTCTTTATATCCTGCTTCTTTCCCTCTTTATCTCTTCCTGACTTAAATCTTAAGCATCAAGGCGGGGAACGATAGGGAACAAAAAACGGGAAACAAAAAGCACAATTAGGATTTAGAAATTAAAAAACAACTTTGGACGTGCGGGCTTTGGAGGTCGTGGAGGTAAAAATGCCACGTTTCTTCCACTGACTGTACGTGAGCGAGCGAAATAAAAGAATCGTAAATGGGGGATCGGTATTGCGCGTGATTCGCCGCAAATGAGATCGAATAAAATCGAATCGGCGAGCGTAACCTAACATTATTCCCGAACTTTGTGTCAATGAAATACATACATACATATACACCACACGTATGTGTGCATGCATGTGCACGGTTGAATAGCGTGACGCGCGTCGAGTTACGCACGTAATTTGGGACGTGCGATGAGCGGATGGTGGCGCGTTCCGAAACGTGCGTAACTCCCCGCGTAAAGGCATCCGTGACGCCGAGCGCGACACACTCGGTCAGTCTTGTTGAATGGATTGAAGAAAGCGAAGAGCTGTGTCACGTGGCGCCCTCGTTGGAACAACGGACACGCTGCCACAGCAATTGTCGAACGACGGCTTGCAATATACATACATACATATATATATACCGCATCACAATTTCATAAAAAAAATCCTATATTCCTAATATATATATATATATATATATATATATATATATTAGGGATATGGGATTTTTTTTATGAAATTGTGATGCGATATGTTGCATCATAATTATCGTAAACATAATTTTAAATCGCACGCAATTTTATATCGTAAGTGCGATTTTTAATCATGAGGAAATTATAATGTTTAAATAAATGTTAAACATGTTAAAAATAAATAAATCATCTTTTTCTTCGTATTACATCAAAATATTCTTTTAAATGATCATTATAAAAAAAACACAAGATTTACTGTGGAAAAATTGTTAAAAGTAAAAGCATAGTGAAGTTAGGTGAGGTTTTCTTAAAAACATCGCAGTGCTTGAAATATATCACGAAATTATACATATTCCTAATATATATACATATACATACGTACTCTTTGACAAGAATTTCTTTCGGGAGAGAGAGGGCAGACAGACGGACACACACAAGCGCTGAGCTTCGTCAACTTTATAGTTTCGCATCGGAGTTTTAACTTTGGCATTTTAACCTTCGCGTCTTCGGCCTTAGCTTCATTGGCTTTTTTTAACTCTATATCGGTCTCTAGTTTACGAACTCCGGCGCTTCGGGCTTCAGCTTTATCACAGCTCTAGAGTGTTCGCGTAACTTTGTATTTTTTTTAATTTTAGCTTTAGCTTTAATTCAGAAACTCACTCTCTCTTTCTCTCTCTTGGGCTTTGATAATCTGTACCTTAACACTAGCTCCAACTTTATTTGGCCTTTACTTCGCGACCTTATCAACCTTCACTTTGAATCCGGCTCCGGTAATCGGTGTTGGCAAGACGACATTTCTCGATATTCTCGAATTATCGAGAAACGACGCCCGTAATTAATTGAAGCGAGTAGTTTTATCTACGTCTATAAACTAATACAAGAATGATAACGGTATCACGATGACTTGAACACGGAGCTCTTTAAAAATAAATTAATTTTTTATTACTTTATTTAACACAACAACAAACTTGTTATACACTAACCTAATATATTTCCACTGAGTTATCATATAATGTACGACTGATATATTAATTATAAGATATGTATTTATATATTAAATAATTATATTAATCGTGCACTGTATGAAAATTATTGGAAATATATTAAAAAGTTTGTCATGTTTGTCGAATAAAACGAAAACGAGATTATCCAATATCGGCAGGTGAATAATTTTCACAAATAAACCGAGCAACATCAACTCGATATTTCTCAAACCTCCAATGTGGTCTTTCCATTTTTCCTTTAATATCCAAACTTAATAAAAAAGGAAGACGCAATTTCGCTGCAACTTAATACAAGACGAGAATCGCTTCGGAGACAAACCAATCGATCTCGAATTTGTCGAGGAATTGTCGAAGGCAAAGTGCGCGCGCGCGTGCAAAGCAGAGAGAGAAAGAGAGAGAGAGGGGGAGAGAGAGAGAGAGAGAGAGAGAGAGAGAGAGAGAGAGAGAGAGAGAG